AGACAAGGCAAAGTTCAACATGTACAAGAGATGGTTAATTAGTTGTTTCCCACAAACTAAACTGGAATAGCTCTCAGGATTTATAGCCGTCGGCATGCCTGTCCGGAGTGTCCAGCTATTTCCAGTTAGTTACCAAGGCCTTGAGACTCTGCCAGTGTTTTTGCTCAATCCTGCTAAGCCCACATCTTTCTCATGAGCCTCACATCAGCCTCAACATCCAGTGGCAGAACTGGCCTTAACCCTTTCTCTCCAGGGCTTCTCCAAAGATGTTACCACCTGGATCACGAAATTCTTCCTGTTCATGGCCAGCCCTGGCTGCAAAATATCCTTTCTGAAGATGACTGCCATGAGAGAAGAGAGCAACTGGGGTTTGGCAAACATCTGGCTGTTCACCTGGGGAGGTGAACAATAAAATGTTAATCTTCCTCCATCTACTGCAGAACAAGAGAAACAGAGATGGGCACGAACTGACGGTTCTGCAATTTGTGCTGGTTCGTTTAGCATCCAAATGGGCGTTCTGAACTCCGCAGCCCCGCCTCTTCTGACGTGTGGCCACTCACATGCAGCACCCCAGTGGGAGCTGCCTCTGAGTGGGCACCCGTTGGAGGAGGCGGGACTAGGGAGTGTCAAACACCAAACGAACCAGCACGAACTGCCAAACCGGTGGTTCCTGCCCATCTCTAAAGAGAAGTCCTCTGATTGGCTTCCCCTTTGAAAGTGGTGAGTTCGTAACAGAGGCTGCCCGTTTTGAAGCGTTCAGGCACCAGTGGCTCTGTTGCTTCAATGCCTCTTCCCACCAGTCCTAGGCAGGGCTTGGAAAAGTTACATTTTCAGGCTACAACTCCAAGAGTCCCCCAGCCACGATGGTCATGCTAGAGGTGCTATTACAGAAGTCATGGTCCAAGAAAATATTTTAAACAAGATCTCGTCCAGGCAGTGGAACAGTAAAACAAACAAACAAAACCAGGGGAAAAAAACCCTTCAGAGGAGCAGATTAAATCTATATTTTGCAAACCACGTTATAGCCTCCAAACAAATTACAAAGCCAGATAACATCAAGACAAGTTTACAAAGATAAATCTACAAAGCAGGAAGGGATTAAAAGCCATAACCTTACAGAAGCAAAAGGTCCCATCCAAAAATCATCAAAGAGGGAACCTACGGAGTGTGAAAAGTTTTAAATTCCATTTTTTAAAAGATAGGCATGCAAAACAATTCCTAGCACATATGGGGGAAAAACTGTCAGTTTTACTTCCACATGTGAATGTTTCAAATCTGAAGGACTCTACATTCTGAAAATGAGATACGTCTATTTTGCTAAATTCTTTGGGAAGGAACTAAAGCAAAGGGTTTTATTCATCTGTGTTGGCCAAATTCAACAGGTTGCCAGCATGGGGAGGCATCTTTTGTATCTGCCTACTTTGTACGTTTTTAAAGATGAGGAGCATTGCAGAGAAAGAAGTAGCAGCCATTTTAATCAAAGATTAACATTACAAAGATTGAAAACCAGACTTTTGAGGGATATGCAGTCCAACTCTTGGATCTAGATGGAGGAATCTGTCTGTTCCTATTTCTGAAATGTCCCAATTTTAAAATCTTACTATTTTAAATACAAACAATTTTGGAAAAATCCAGGAAGAAGAATGAACTGAAACAAATTTCTCACTCATCCCTATTTTCTGTTGTAGTTGTTGTTATATGCCATCATATTGCCTCCAACTTTTGTCAGCCCTGTGAAGGAGTGCTCTCCAAAAGTCTTGTCTTCAACTACCCTCCTTCACTCTTGTAAACATAACTCTGTGGCTTCCTTTTAGGGAGTCAGTCCATTTCACATTTAGTCGTCTTCTTTTTCTGTTGCTTGCAGCTTTTCCTAGCATTATTGTCTTTTCCAGAGAATACTGCCTTCTTATGACCTGCCCAAAGCAGGACGGCCTTAGTTCCAGCATTTTTGCCTTCTGAGATAGTTCAGGCCTTGTTTTTATCTAGGACCCACTTGTTCATTATTTTGGCAGTCCAGAGAATCTGCAAAGCTCTCTTCCAGAACAATATTTCAATAGAAATCACTTTTTTCCTTATGAGCTTTCTGAACTGTGCAGCTTTCAGACCCATAAATGGTGGTTGGAAATACAAGTGTGTGGATAATCTCGATTTTGCTCTCCAGTGACACATCCTTACACTTGACGACCTTTTCTAGTTGTCTCACACTTCTGATTTCTTGACTGCAATCTTTGTCGGACTGAGGATTGAATCAAGGCAGACTTGGTTCTTTCCAGATCACTGTAAGCATAAATGTTTTTGTAGGAACAATTTGCATTGATCATTATTCCATCTAATTGTTTATACAAGTTTAGCTTCACAGCCTTTAAAAAAATATTGTGTTGATCTTCTCTGCCCTGGCAATTTTTATTCCACTGCTCGTTTTTGCTTTCAGATGGCAGCTGTAACTCGCTTCCCTGCTCAGCCCTGCTTAGGCAGTGCAAGCCCATGTGAATCTGAAGGAGAAATCGCACTCACCTGTCTCCTTCCCGGTTGCACAGCTTATTTATAGTCAGCCCTCATTCAGTGCCTGAAGCATTCCTCACCCTGGCTGGCCCTCCCATTAGGCAGCGCAAGACAACCATCTCAGACAGAAGCTTCAAGGTATTTTGGATTTTGGATTATACCTCCGAAGGAGAGCAGATCCATAGTTATATGGTTATATGTATATATTTCACATTTATTGTATTTTTTTTCTGGCAGGGCGAGAGAGAAGTGTTTATAAGATGTTCTGCCTCATTTGCAGAAATAACATGGTTGGTTTTATACCAGAAGTATGGAATCTCTGGGAAACCCAGTGTGCTGTAGTGAGCAGAGTTATGGACCAGGAGAACTGAGTTCAAATCCCCACTCAGTCATAGAAGCTTCCGGGGTGGGGGGGATCAGTAAAACTACTCCTTAAACATCCCACTTACCTTGAAATCTCTGTTTGTTGTTGCTGTTTAGTCGCTAAATCATGTCCGACTCTTTGTGACCCCATGGACCAGAGCATGCCAGGCCCTCCTGTCTTCCACTGCCTCCCGGAGTTGTGTCAAATTCATGTTGGTGGCTTCAATGACACTGTCCATCCATCTCGTCTTCTGTCGTCCCCTTCTCCTCCTGCCTTAATACTATCCCAACATCAGGGTCTTTTCCAGGGAGTCTTCTCTTTTCATGAGATGGCCAAATCTCATGAGAAATCTCTACTAGGGTTGTTATCAGTTCTGACTTGACAGCACATAACACGAGGGAATTTCTCACCCCTTCTACTGTTAGGACATTAGCCCTCAGAAGTGCAGCCAAGCCAACGGGATTGTGAAATCTCTAACCCAAACAAATGGATTACATTGTTAGGCAAGATGTCTCCTGATTAAGAGGACAGGGGCCATTGCTGCTCCATCATAGGCAGCAAAGTATTTTGGGATAAACCTGCCAATTGCCAGCACGAGGGAATTTCTCACCCTTTCTACTGTTAGGACATTAGCCCTCAGAAGTGCAGCCAAGCCAACGGGATTGTGAAATCTCTAACCCAAACAAATGGATTACATTGTTAGGCAAGATGTCTCCTGATTAAGAGGACAGGGGCCATTGCTGCTCCATCATAGGCAGCAAAGTATTTTGGGATAAACCTGCCAATTGCCAGCTAGATCTGAGACTTTGAAACATCCTCATCTATGCTGATATACCAGATGCGTTGCTCCACAGCGACATTTGTCCTTTCCAAATTAAAACTGATCCAAGCCTGGTTGTAGATCAAAAGGGACATTCTGGAAATCTCTTGGGGCAAATCTAGATTGATTCCAACTTATGACTGATTCCTGCTTACGGCAATCCTATTGCTTTCTTTGTATACATTGCCCAGAAGTGGTTTCGCCATCCCCTTCTTCTCGGCTTTCTCTGAGATTGCGCCGCTTGCCCAAGGCGACACAGGCTGGCAATTCTCCCCCAGCTCCCAATCAGGAAGGAGACCCCTGACCTCTAGCAGTGCAGCCAGCTGGCCAACTCACTGAGCTGGCAAACAAAACGTGATATGCAGAGAATATGTGTAATGCAGAAACAATGCGGTTGGTTTCATACCAGAGCTATGGGATCTCTGAGATACTGCTGCTATAATGCAGCTCTGTGCTCTTTTATAATGAAAATAAAAAGCTGTTTCTAGAAAGGTGAACACGAGAGAGAAAAAAGAGAAAGTGGCAAGATGCTTAACTCCTTCCCATCTCTTCAGTCTTCAAATCAAACAGCTTTTTCTCCAACAATGTTTTAAGCGTATGTTTGCCATCACCAGCATGGAGTTATTGAGTTCTGTGTAGCACGTGTGTTGAGCAGGCTGCTGTGGAATTGAGAGTATTAAATGTGTTGTTCAAGGGTGGTTATCTTTGGCTCACCACAGCTATCAATACCCTTCTGTTTTGGTTTGTTGGTTAGAGGGCTTAAAGCGAATAGATTTCCAAAGAAACTAGATTGATTGGACACAAGGTATGCCAAGGTGATGGAGAACTTAAAAGGAAGAAGGTGCTCAGTATGCAGAGGGAAACCAAACAGCACCCTTCATCTGTCTGTAGTCCCTTGAAATGTAGACATCTCTTCTCATCATGTTTCCTTCTATATATTCTCACTTTTTGCTTCCGGACTGATCAGTGCTTGCTTCCCTTTGAGATACGTCTAGCGCCAGAAATATAAGTGCAAATGCTGAAATCTGATCACAATAGAATCACCATCTTAGAATTGCAGAGTTGGAAGGGACCCCTCCGGATCATCAAGTCCAGCCCTTCTCAAAGAGAAGTGGCCTAAACCACTGAGCTATCCAGCAGTTCCAGAACGAAGGGACACAACTTTCACTGCTCTGACTGATTACGAAATAAAGCATGTCCTCTGCTACCCTGTATATATCAAATTGGCTGAGTAATTTGACATTCCTTTCTAAGGATGGATCTCAATGGCTTTTTTTGCAGTGTAGAAGAGTACCACGGAATTTCACAGATATTATGCTGGGGAAAAGGTGTACGTCGTTAAGATGATGAACCATAGAGTGGTGTGTTTCCATTCTATATGCCAGCCGAGAACACAATAATCTGAAGGATAATGAGGTCCCAGGGGAAATCATTCATGATTCCTTGATGATGTGGCTGTCCTACCTATGAAGGTGTCTGCCGACAAGACAGACACACCCCATGGTAAACATTTTCACATGCTTCTTTATGTGTACGGAATCCAAAATAAGGGTTGAGTAACGTCTTTATTGGACCACTGCAATGTAATTGGGGTACCCAGTCTGGTGTACTGGGTAGAGCGGCGGACTAGGATTCAGGAAACCTGGTTTTAAATCCCTGCTCACCTAGGGAAATTCACCAGATGTGTGTGTTAAAACCTTTCCTTAAAGATTTCACTTTCTTTGAAACCCTGATTGGGGTCACTATAAGTTGGTTCTGACTTGATGGCAGATAAATCAAAATATCACCGAACTGTTAGACTTTAAATCAGTCTGGGCATGGGAAATAATACTCACAATTAAAATAGACACAAGGGTCATTTCTCCATGGTGGGGAAGACTGTGAGTTTGTGAGTTTTGTGCTTACTGAGCATCCTGTCCAGATGCTCATTGTGGATGGACAACTTCTAGTCCAGCGGTTTCCAATACTGAGTTCCTATATATTGTTGGACTTCAAGTCCCAGAAGCACCAGCCAGTACGTATGAACAATCAGCAGGAATTCTGGGAGTTGAAGTCCAACAGTATCTAATCAAACCATTGTTTTAAGCTTCTACCTCTCTCTCTCTCTCTCTCTCTCATCGTTTTAAGCTTCTACCACTCTCTCTCTCTCTCTCTGATTCTTGATCTTTTGAACCATGTTTGGACTGGGTAGCCTTTCCTGCGAAAGACATCTTTAAATAGCAGAGCTCAACTCTGTAAAACAGGGCATTTAAACATTTGCTTCTGCTTTTTCACACAGTTTGCTTTCTGCCCCTCAGTTCTCAAGACGAGTCGTACCCAGCTTTGGGTCACCCAGGTGTTCTTAGACTCAAACTCCCAGAAGCCTTTATTTAAACATTTGCTTCTGCTTTTTCACATGGTTTGCTTTCTGCCCCTCAGTTCTCAAGGCGAGTCATACCCACTTTGGTTAACCCAGGTGTTTTTAGACTCAAACTCCCAGAAGCCTTCATTACTAATTGCGCTGGCCATAAAACTAAGTTCTACGCCTCTGATCAAAATGTTATGCCGATGGACATTCTGTGCTGCATTCTGAGCAAAAATGGTATACAGACTCACAAGTGGGAGCCCCTCTTCAAGGAAGAGAAAGCAGAACTCCAGAATTTATTGTGTTCCTGCTGTCTATATTGACTTCACCATGTCCAAAGGAGAGCACCCAGCATACAAAGCAAATAACTATCTGGGCTTTGAAGTAAAGGAGATTATGAGGATTAAAAGAAGATGAAAAGGGATGCTTACAATTATTATTAGCTTCAAAGTCTTCCCGACTAGAACAGCCAGCCCAATGCCCATCTGTTCTTTTACGTCCATGTGGCCTCAAAGGTTGAGGGCATGCCAGCCGCGCATGAAATTTAATGTTCTGATGCAATCTGGGTTTTAAAAGAAAAACAACATCATTTTCATAATGCAGGCCTGTATCAACCCTATTAGTGTGTGCTCAGCAAGCTTAGCAGGTATAAAAAAAAGCATTGGGGTTTGGAGAAAGTATAAAATTCCATGGAGTCCAAGGGGAAACAGAAGCCCTTCTGTTAAGATTGTTCAATTGGAGAGGCAGCTTTTGTGACCGGGTCATTCTGAAAGATGGCTGTGTGCAGAAACTGAATGACAGGGAGGCTAATACAAGAAGGCTCATCATCAAACTCGTTGGCATTGATTCCATCGGTGCTTTCATTAGCAATTCCGTTTGCCAAGGTAGCTCTCATCAGGCCCAATGTTCGTGCTCCCAGACTGGTCTTCTTGAGGAAAGGAGGAGGGACAGGCGTGAGGATGAAGTGGGTGGATCTGGCAGGAGGCCAAGAGTTAAGGCTTGGCCAGAGCTGTTATTTTTCTGGGCAAATTGCTGAGTTGCAGACCGAGCACAGCAATATTACATTTGGATCACAACTCCCAGAATCCCCCAGCCATCATGATATCATAACATGGTATCAGGTTGGGCTTGTTGATCACTTTGCTTTTCCAGTGTTCAATGCGCTTCACGGGCATTTTCTCATAGTTACAGAAACTGTGTGAGGTCACTTGGTATTACTATTGTTATGTCTCATAATACTGATGAGTGGAGGAAGTGAGGCTGGAAGAGAGAGCGTGGTGTTAACAATGTGGGAAGTAATGAATTGGAAAGCCAATGCCCTCCGAAGTAGTTTGTTACTATTTCATTGTGATTTTTAAATTAGGCATGTGACAGATGGACCTCATATGGACTTTCATGTAGCTGGACTGCTGTTTTGTGAAAATCAGCACAAAGGGGCAAGAGTGGAGGGGTCACAAGAATACGCCGAACCAACTAGTATTATTTCCTTTCAGTGAGTGTGGTTCAGTTCTTCTGAAGATAAGAACACGTTGCTTACCAAGTAGTCATCTGTGAACTCATGCACACATAGTTGTTCTTGTCTGTGCATGTTGTGCATGATTATTTGGAAATTTCCAGAGCTAAGAGCTGTAGTCTTGGAAAGTGTGTAGTAGGAGCAACCCCTCTTCCTTTAAGAATCTGCTCTCATCTTTTGGTTATGATTGATTACTCTGAGATTGGATCCAACACTATCACTTGGCCATTTCTGTTTAGTCTATTCCTTGTGCCGAGACCTTTCAGTCAGTACAATCAAGTTTCATCTTACCAAGTTTTGTTAAATCATACATGCATTCCTGTGTTAAAAGTTCAAGCTCATCTTACTTGTGTCCCATATTCTATGCATTTGCATATAGATGTTTGAAGCCATAGGCCATTCCCTCCAACCACTTCCTTATTACCCTTTACCACTGGGTTCTTACACTACCATCCCAGTTTCTGATGCATCGCTAACATTATTATTCCCCATTACTTGATGTCTCTCTCTAGTCTCTGGAATAAAGCTCTGTCCTCAAAAGAATTCAGTTTTGGTTGGGAGGTAGCTGCAGTGACTGTCAATCAACTCAGTAGTAATCAGTTGTTTCCATCTCTACCTCAGAGTTCTTTTTTCCCACCTTTTCCCAGTCAGGGTTCAGTTAGTATTCTGTCGGTCTGTGAGTTATCGAGTTAGAAGTGGACTGTTAGAGTGAAGTGTTCTGCCAGCAATGTAACCAGACAGTTAGTTAATAATGAAGTAAATTAAACAGGTAAGCTCTGCAATGCAAAAAGTTAACATTTCCACAAAATGTGATGTTTGTTTTTCCTATAAGGACTGTAAGTAAAGAGAAACGTTTTACTCTTTCTAATTCACCAAGTCTCTGAGTGAATGTATTGAAACAAAAAAAAGCGCCAGTTCAGGTAAACTAACAAATAAGGAGCTGTCTACTGAGGGAGAATGGCGTTCAATCTGCTCTGTAGATTCCTGACCAAACCATTTTGATCTGCTGCATAATTAGAGGAAGTTTTATTTTTAAGCTTCACTCAGTTTTCCTCACAAACTGCCAAACTCCAACGATATGTTCTTCCAAGCCCCTGTAAGGTGCAATCCATTACTTGACAGAAAACCTTCATGAAAGCGCAGACCATCATCCAAGCAGCCAGACCTTTATGATGACACAAACTGCACAACGGGTGTTTCTTTCCGATATTCTTGCCAGTCTTTCTAGGCTGTGACCTTCAATAGGAAGGAGTGACTGAAAAAAAACACCCTGTACTCCAAATCCTTCATCTTCCTACTTGGAGAGTCGCTTTCAATACATCGCAGGCTGTGTCTGTCAGAATTCTTGTAGTTCATTTTCAAAGAATTCCCCAACTTTTGCAAATGTCATCGTATTTGGGGTGGAAAGAACTTCAGTGTTAAAACATTCAAGCACAAGAAAAAGCCTGACATGTTTTCCTTCTCTACGCTGGACGGACCCAGTGATATAACACAGTATTGTTCTCTCACAGCTTGCAGGCACGGGGAAAAAGATGGAAAGGGCGCTATTCACTTTCAAAAGTTCCTTTTTAATGACATTTTAAGAGACATTTCAATTTTTCGGGTTTCTCTTGTCAATGCCGGATGGCAGCAGAAATATCATTTGACTTAGATTTTATTTGATTTTGTTTCCAATGCACTATATCAGAATTGAACACTGGAGGACAGAGGATATTTTGCCACAGTTTTGTGGCCTGGTAGTAACGGTGGCGCAACTCATTAATATTGTGCAATGTGTCAAGCTACTTGCGCGATCAGAGCAACCATAATGATAATGGCAATCTGAATGCAGAGACGCAGTGGGTCATAAAGGGAATTCCTTCAGAAATGTAACATTCTAAGTTCTGGTAGCAATCTGGAAAAAAAAAACTCCCAACAAAGCTGAGAGTTTTAAAATTATCCTGTGCATCCTTCTCCCTATTAAACGGTGCTGGTTGCATCAAAGAGGCAAAGAGGCAAAGAGGCCTGCAAGCGGGATGTTTATTTGAAACTCTCTTTCACTCTTTAAGCCGTGATACTTTCGTTTTTGTCCCCTCAATTTTTATCCTTGTCACAGCCTTGAGACACTCGGGGACCACAGGGCCCTCTGCCTTCTGGGATGTCTGCAGTTAGACTTTCCTCTATCATCACTTTCAACTCGGGTTGTGACTCATATTAAATGTGGAGCGACTCATCTACAGTGGTGCCTCGCTAGACAGTTACCCCACATGACAGTTTTTTCGCTAGACATTGATTTTTTGTGATCGCTATAGCAGTTTGCAACACAGTGATTCCTATGGGGGAATTTCGCTGGACAATGTTTGGTCCCTGCTTCGCAAACCGATTTTCGCTATATGATGATTTTGACAGCTTCTTCTGCGCTCACAAAATAGGTGTTTTCGGGACCTAAGCTTCACAAGACAGTGATTCAAACAGCTGATCGGCGGTTCGCAAAGCAGCTTTCCTATGGCCGATCTTCGCTAGACAACGACGATTCTTCTCCATTGGAACACATTAAACAGGTTTCAATGCATTCCAGTGGGGAAATGCTTTCCGCTAGACGATGATTTCGCTAAACAGCGATTTCAGTGGAACGGATTATCACTGTCTAGCGAGGCACCACTGTAC